ATGGCTGATCCTCATTGGGGGAGCAACACTACAGTAGTTCTGGTGTCACACAGCTAAAGATCACCCAAAGACCTCCCAGGCCTGAGTAGAAAAGATTGTAAAGTAGTTATGATCAAAGAAAAATGCTCTGATACAACAAAGTATTTAATTCCAGGACTGCAGTTTCTTTTTGTTGTTTAAAAGTGTAAAGTAATGATGTTAGGTGGGTAGAGTATTAATAAATTGTACTCAAGTAAGAGTAGCACTACTTCAGCGGTAGTTTTACTTAAGTAAAAGTAGTCATCCAAGAAATTACTCAAGTTAAAGTAAAAAATATTTGGTAAAAAGGCTACTTGATTTTTGGGTAATTGTTGGATAGCATCTGATTTAATGTTATTTAATGTCTATTTAGAAATTCTATCTATCTATCATCTATCTATCTATCTATCTATGTGTGTGTTTGTGTGTGTATAAACATATATCTAATTTATATTAAATACAGAGAAATCTAATCTTTCTACTAATTTTTGCACCAAAAACTTCAAGGAAGCAACCATTTTCTTCTATGGAAAAAGAACCCCCAGCATAGTCCATTTCAGCAGAATCTGCCTTCTACATTAGGAATTAGAGGAAAGAAGGAAAGCAAATACTAAAAAAACTCTGAATCACTGGAACAGGGTAACTGTTTATAAGAATACAAATTAAATCACATAGATTCATATGTATTGCAGAATTAACCTCTGTTTCATCAGTAAGAATAGATTATGTAGAAAAGCTTTTGTTTGCAGACTAATAGTCCAACAATATTTATTTTGTTTATAGGATGGCCTAATCATTTACACATCATTTAATACAACTCTATAACTCCATATTATCATTTGTCTGGTATATATAACACATGAGGTATCCATTTTGTAACTGCAGATCTTTTAAACACATCCCATTTACTAAGTACAGGCCAAAGTAAATCCACTAAAACAAGATGCTACAGCATCAAGACAGGAATGAACCAGGGTAGTTTTCATATCGATGCTGCCCTCTGCAGGATGTATTGACCACTACAACTGGAATTTACAGAGTCATGCCATGACCTTACAGAAAATGAATAACAACGTTGAGTGAGTTCAAGATAAATTTTCTTACATTTAGGGGCCGAATCTCCAGTGATGAATTGAGTTATGTACAGTATTAACCCACAACCTAAGCCATAATGACAGTCCAGTGCGTGTGCAGGAAACAGCCGTTATATATAAAATCTTGCACTATGCAGTCCCAGAGAGGCTGCTCTCATTTCCATCTGTGGTGAAATGTAGATTCATGCTGTAGTCAAAACAAAGTCTGAATAAGACGGACACAGCATAATGAAAGGGTTAGTGGATAATTTGTTCTGCAGTCAAGCAGCTCCAAGCCTGATGAATGACTTGGTGTTCTCTAATGTTTCTGTGTAAACTTTGTGTTAGTCGGGTAAAACATTAATTTAAGTACATGGGAGGGTTTCCACATTTACAGAGGAAAATACACAAAGAAGGCAAGATGCTCCTGAAAATTCAAAGTTCTTTATCTGGAATTTCAAATAGTGTCAGATATAGAAAGATTTTAATCTGAACGATAAACATTGCAAAGGGCTGATGCTCACTACTTTTTATGTATGTGTGTGTGTTTGGTCCTGTTTCTCACCTAGACATAGCTATGGGCTTAGCTTTTTACTATTACTATCTGTATGTGCTCTTTTCGTCCATCTTACATGAAAACTGGCTTAGAGCTTGTCTGCTTAGCAATTTATTTCCAAGACAGAGCCACCTAAGGAGCTAGTTTACCATTACCTTATCTAACTTAGAATATATTTATAGATCAGTGCTTTTTATGTTGGTTTATACGTTTGCTTTGGTCATCTTGAACCCCAGTCAGCAGAGATGGGAAGTAACGAAGTACAAATACTTCGTTACTGTACTCAAGTAGATTTTTCTGATATTTTGCCTTT